TAGGCTTTTGCCTGTGACGTGATGTATCATACTATTTTATTTAAATAATTTCAAATTTCCCTCCAATCACCTATTAATAAACTATTTAAATATATTATCCACTTTCACCTATGTAATTGGCAACAGCTTACATTTAGCCCTTTACCTTAATAAGTTTTTAGGTTTTAACCCATCAACTTATACTATAACACTTTTAGCCTCTTACTTATACGAATTGAAGAAAATAGCCTTTATTTAACATGAAATTATAATGTTTGTCAATTGACTATTAATATTCTGTTAACAATTAGTTGATAGACTGTTAACGACAACAAAAATAGAATTAACAAAATATTAACAGTTAGCTGATAAACGTTATAAACTGACATTAAATAAGGGCTATCTTCTTCAATTTGTAAAGGTGAGTGGCTATTTTCTTCAATTTGTAAAGGTGAGGGGCTAAAAGTGTCATAATATAAGGTAAATGGTTAAAACTTACAAATTTATTAAGGTAAAAGACTAAAAATAAGTTTTTTCTTGTAACTTAACATGCTGTTTTATTAAAATATTTAAATTTTTTTACAATTCACCTACGTGAGTTGCATGTTGCTTTTATCACCTACAGTAGGCTTTATCTTAAACTATGTATGAGTTGCAATGTTGTATTACTTATTTTTTAGGTAAAATCTTACTTTTAACCCTTTATCTTAATAAATTTATAGGTTTTAACTCCTTAACTTATATTATAATACTTTTAGCCCCTCACCTATACGAGTTAAAAAATAATAATCTTTGCTTAACATGAGGATATAATGTTCGTCAACTAATTATTAACATTTCATTAACAATCATTTGATAGACTATTAATGGTGACAGAAACAAAGCTAACAAAATGTTAACAATCAGTTGATGAACATTATAAATTGATATTAATTAGGGATTATTTTCTTCTATTAGTAAAAGTGAGGGGTTATTTCCTTCAATTCGTAAAGGTAAAAAGTTCACATCACCCACGTGTACTATAATAGTGAATTAAATAGTAGATGTTAAAAATATAAATTATTTTTAAAATTTTAATCTAAAGGTAAAATTAAATAATGACTACATTATTATGAGACATAAGAGTAAAGGCATGGGCTTTCCCTTGAGAAAGGATTGTTTACTTGACATGATTTTTTCTTGTATTAGTTTCTTTAATTACATAAATAATTCAAAAATTTTGCTATAATTAAATTAATATAATTGCTGTTAATTGAATATATTTTTTTTATAATATAGTATGTGAAACCTTTAACTCCACCAATCTTACAATACCACGCAAATTGCCCCGTCATAAAAATGTACAGAGTTTGCTCTGAGAACTTCTCATTCCTAGAGATTTAGAAACATAAGGGCAGTGTGGTGTTTATTATACAATATTTATTATTATTATTATTTTTGAATATGTGGGAATTTTGGGGAATGAGAGATTTTTTTCAAGTTGTTGGTGGGAGTTAAACTTTTGACCAATTAAATTCAAACACTAAGACTTGGAGACGAACCAAGCCCGATTCATTGTACAATATTGTTTGCACCATAAATTACATTTTTAGTAATGCCACATGTTAATGAATAAAGTGAGATTAGATTTATTGTGAGGATGCAGATCTATAAAAATTGGTTTTGGAAGCGGTGAAGATTATCTAGTTTGTTGCAATTTGAATTTAAAAAGAAACAATAATTCCTAGAATGTAAGAGAAAGTGCATTTGAGTAATTATCTGTGATCTGAGCAACCAACGAGCGAAGTGGGGAGATAGTTTGCAGGAAGTTAGTAAAAAGAAAGTTTCAGATTATTCAAGGACATGGCCAGCCATACTCACACCCCAGAGCAAGTTTCAGCATTTTTAGACTTTTACTTTAGCTTTCAAATTTCATCTTCAACATAGTACTTGATAGGTTTTAGATTGTCTAGTTTTCACTTCTACAATTGCATCTAATGTAATGAACAACAAGTATTTTAACTTCAATAAGGCACTATTTCTTTTCCAATCTTTGTTTATTTTAAGTTAATGGCATTCAAGCTTCTATCTTGTTTTATTTTCCATATCAATTTAATCTTTACTCATACATGCTTTTTGATTAATTAGTTTTATATTTCCATATCTGAGGTAGGTAAATTTGCAAATTTGTCTATAAACGTAAATTAATTTAGATCTGAATCAAGATGCATTCATCTTTTATGAGTCTACTTAATTTGCATTTTGCATTTCATTTTGAACATTTAGGATCTATTAACTTAAATTTACAATATTGATAAAGTCCTTTAGATTGTCTGAGGCAGATTAGCAACCCATTATGCAGGAAGGCATCCCTCCCTATTGTAAATCATCTGAAGGGCATAGAACTCAATCTTAAACTAATGTTCTTCCAGCCATTCTAACAAAGGTCGACTACATGGAAGGAGAGAGTTGTTGGGAAAATTCCTTTTTTCTTGCTTTTCAGAAAAGCAAATAGCACACTTGCATCCAAATTCCACACTTTCGAAGCCACTTGAAGATTTTTGAAAAAACAAATATATATTATGATCAGTTAAAAATGAAACATGAACGTAATAAAAATACGTTAAATTTGAATAAATATATATATTTTTGGTAAATAGATGATTTTCACTCAAGAAAAAGGTTATCAAGAAGGGTGATGCTATAAGGACAACCTTTTTATACAACTTCCACATGTCATTAAATAAGTAAATGCATTCAATATCATGAGTTCCACATGAATTAAAATAATCAATCATTTTAATTACACATCAGGTTGTACAAAAAGGTAGGACAAAAAAATTGTAGAAAAATCATTTTCCTATTAAGAATTGTAAGTTGTGGAATGTAAAATACATAAAAATAGTAATATTATATTATATATACAATAATATTGACTGTCGAAATAACATTAAATATCCATATAGAAACTAGCATTAAAATGGAAATAAGGTTGTTATCAACACCCATTTAGTATAAATAAAATCATAAAAAATAATAAACAGAAAAAAAATGGAAATAATTAATGAAAGTTATATTACCTGTAGTGTAAAAGGCTATGTTTTTAAAGGTTAAGTGTTGGAAGAAAGACATTGAGTTGAGAGGGTAAGAATTGAATTGCATTTATACTGATCAGATGAAAAATAAATTTAGTTGAAAGTTAAGCGTAGTTGACGGTTGAGTTAAAGGTAAAACGGCATTATGATCTACGTTGCTGATATCCACTTGAATGTAGCATTGCAATATACATAGTGATAATGAAATTCATCGACGTGCACTACAATGATAAATTATATGCATTGCCGGAAAACTTTCCAAGGCTTTCAGTAAGGTGCTTTATGTTGGTAACTTCCAAAAGGCACACAGCATGGTATTACACATTGCTAATAAGGTAATATCACCAATATGCCAAAACACGTTGCTAATACTTGGTTGCTGACTAATTTATAAATTGATATAAATTATACTATTTAAACTAATAAATAACCACTACAAGAAAATGGACATTTTGTGACAAAAAATTGGTTACAAAAACTTAGTTTTTTGTCGCAAATTAAATGTGTTTAGAATTTGAGTTGTTGTGATTAATTCTATCATCACAGAATGCATATATTCTTGAGTGAACTCATACAAAATTTTAAAAATTTGTCCTCCTAACATAAATTTTTAAGTTTGTTCTTAGTGTTGAAAATAAAATTTATTTTTATAATTTTTAATACAAATTAATAACAAAAATGTGCGATAAATACATTTTTAACTTTTACTTTTAAGACACATGTTAGAAATATCATTTTACTTTTTAAATTTTACATTATTTTATTTTATTTTTGAATCACGTAATTTTTAATTTTTAATTATTTAAATTATTAAATATTAAATCGTAAATTTTAAAAATTTAAACCCAAACACATATTAATCACTAAATCTTAAGAAACTAATTCCTAAAACTATAAAATACTGAATCTAAAAAATCTAAACCTTAATGCCTTAAACACAAATCTTAAAATATATAATTTTAACATTAAATCTTAAAAAATCTAAACTCTAACATTTTAAGCACTAAATCCTACAAATTTTAAACTCTAATAACATGAGTTTAAATTGATTTTAACTTCAAAAAAAAAAAAGAAAAAAGAAGAAGACAAAAATGAATTTGAATTTTTAAAAGTACAGATTAAATAATAAATTTAACTTAAAAAATGGGGAAATTATTGGCTCCATTGAAGCCGGCCTCCGTAAGCTTGCTAGGGGTTCGGTCCCCCTAGCATTTTCAAATTTTATTGTAATTTGGAAAAAAAAAATTGTTTACAAAGCTTCTTTTTTTTGTAATTTAAATTATATTATTACAAAAAAAAATTATAAAAGAACAATTTATAACAATAGAAAACTGCTCTAATTTAATGATTTAATTAGTTGTGTAATCTGAATTCCACAACACATTTTTGCTTATAAAATATATGGACAAAGATTCTTAATAATAAATATTTGTGAAGGGATTGAGGAAAATTATGTTTAGTTAATTAAAAAGCTAAGATTGTTTGTGAAAAAAATTTAAAAATTTTTATTCATGAATCCAATTGCAGGGAAAATTTATTTAAAATATTTAAATAGGTATACAAAAAATTTTAATATTTTAAATATCAAAACATTTTATTTTTTTACTATTGTTTTTATAAAAAGTATTTTTATAAAATATTTACATGATATCAAATAATTAGATACATAATGATGTACATATCTTGCCGAGTGAAAAAATAATAATAATAATGATATGTTTGATTTGAAAGAAATTAAAAAAAAGAAATGAAAAGATTTTTTTAACTAATCAAATTATAATATTTAAAAATATTATAATTTAATTAAAAAAAAATTATCTTTATCAATGACCTATTCGTTAGAATAAAAAAACTCGACTCT